GGTTTTTTGAAATAGCACAAACGTATAGTCGCTATTCGCTTGCGGGAGGCAAAGATGGTAGACAGGTGTCGAAATAGCTCGAGCAGTAATTGAGTAAGCTCAGACTCTAGTTTGTGGACACCATATCAAATACTTGCAGCCAAATTAGGCCGAGGCAGAGTTTTCTGCATATAGACCGCAGCGATACGGTCTTTGTTATCATATGAATACTTTCTGTCCCTAAGGATATTCGATGTCCGTCCAGGAAGCGACATACCCGACTGAGAAGCTCTACAAGAATCTCTACAGGAAGCTAGATCAATTCCACCCCCAAGTTTTCTGTCATGGTCTTATTTGAGCGGTTTTCGTATACATACTGTTAGAGGACTAGTAAAGCGATCTCAACCGCGGAGAACCCTGGGAAAGTGATGCTAGGACTGAGTAAAAAGCCATACAGATATAGTTAAATACTAAAGCAGAAGCCTGAGGCAACAAGCCCGTCTTTGCAAATGAAACAACAGTTCAGCTACATGAGACGTAATGTGATTACCTGTTAAGCCATAGCGCTTACTTCAAGGTTGCTGACCAGTCAATCACGTAACACAAGGATGAGATCTCTAGACTCACTTATCTGCAGCAAATTGATTTCCATTCATATCTTAACGAACGCTTATAAATATGAGGTAATGATTGGAACAAGTAACATGTTGTGGTAGTGGGAATGGGGGGTGTGGAAGAGTAGAAGGAGAGGCGGAACGAACATCTTTGATGACTTCATTGCACTACATTGGACGGGTGAAATAGTTGATCTGCATGAATTGGCCCTACATTCTTCACATGATATGAGGAGGTTACGTGTCTTTGTATCGTATCCTTGAAGCACATTCCAGTATCGAAAAGTGTGCATGAGGAACTTAGACAGTAGCCTGACTGGCTGCAAAGTATGCTTGAAAGATCAGGCAACAGAAGATCTGTTGTAACCATGCTAGTATATGTTGCGACAGACATTGCTTTACATTGACTATATAACTGACTGTCTAAGAGTGCAGTGCTCAAACGAAAATGTACAAGTAAGTGGTAATGATCGTCTAGGACCTTATGGACCCCACATCATATGACGACAGTCTTTCACAACCCCATCGTCACCTTGTTCACAGCTACCTCCCCTGTTGTGTACCGTCTGAACTGCTTTTCTCTGATGTAGCACCTTTTTAAGCAGCGGCGGCGATCTCGCGGCGTGCGAACCTGAGGCTGCGCTTTGCCTTTAGCTTAGTGCTAACACCACTGTAGCTGTTGATGCATATGGTCAAGGTTCCGTCGAGAGAGTTCGCTTGGTTCTGCAAGTCAGAAGCACGTGACTCAACGGTATCGATCAACATAAATGCGATAGTCTGTAGATAGCCGTTAGCAAGTGCGAATATAATCGTTGGGGATAGTATCCAGAGAAACATGGGAGATTGGGAAAAGGACTCACATCAACAACACTCTCGACTTGTCTGAGCACAGCTGCTACGGGCTGGCCAATGAACGGAACAGTAGTGAACAATCCAGCCTTTCCGATGAGTATGTTGAGCAGAGCCTGGTGGACACGGACAAACTATTTTTGATCGTCAGTCATTTTATCATCCAGAAGGCGCTTGTAGTACTGACTTCGCGGAAGGCGTCAAAGATAGCATCAGAATCAGCACCGGCTGGAACAGGAGGCATTCCTTGCATCTGGCTGATAGCAGTGGTGGCTGTGGACACAATGTCGGTAAAGCCCGCGATGATCTGGGGAAACGGTCCCTGGCCAACGACAATCAAAGGACCATTCATGATAGTGATGCTCTGAGCTGGTGCCTGGAGCGCCTGGCTCTTCTGAGTCACCGTCCGGATGTTGGAGACAACCTGAGCAGGCGTAATCTGAGCAGCGATAGGGACAGAGAGAGCCACAGCAGCAGTAAAGAAGTTGCGGAATGAGACCATGTTTGCGGTGATTGATGGCTAGAAGACCGGTATCTGATGCTTAAACGATGAGGATCGAGGAGTAGTGATTGCAGAGATGAAGCTGTGCGATGACTTCTAACGATGAAGGGCGGCAGCATCTTTATACACGGTGCAAGATGCAGCTAAGCTCAAGCTCTCGGAGTGAATACTTTCCACCACCCTGTGAGGTGACTAGATCTGCTGATCCTCCTATACAGGACATTGAGATGCCAATCAGACCTATTGCCAAAAGGCTAGGCGATGCAGAGTGCGCTACTGTCGAAAAGAATAAAGTTCAATGATAGATGAAGTCTTGTACTATAATCCACCTTGGCTTGACCGCTTTCACCCTAATCTCCAGTGCATTGCACCTTTTTCCTTTCCATTGTTGGAGCTCCGTGGCAGTGTCACAGCTTGTGCCGATATAACGAGCGTACCACATCAAGATTCCTTTACGGCATCTCCAATACATATTCTTCTCTTCAGTATCGTAGTTGGTGTCAGTTCACAGTGATCAGTATAAAGTCCGACCAGACTAGTCCCTGTTAGAGAGATCTACCAGAATCCATCACCGAGTGGAGCTTCTGCGGCTAAATCGATACAAGGGATTGACATCTTCGAGCTCCACTTTCCTTGTCCAGTCCATGAGCAACACCCGGTTATGAACATAGAGAGAACGCATGCTGGGTATACAGCACTAACGCATCCTAGGGCTCGCAATGGCAATTGGCGTCCAAGTTCACAGTGGAGGCTTAAGGCTTGCCAATCATTTTCCAAATGTCTCTTGCCAAGATATTTGTATTGCCGTAGTACAGTAGATCACTACTCTGTATGTGCGAGTCTCTCTTGTCGACCTGCGTCAGTTCAGCTGAGGTGGCCCATTTGGTGCCGCTTTGTTGTCAAATGCCGCCAAAAAGGGTGTGGTAGTGCCGTAGCGGTGCGGCTCGTCGATCTTACCCGTGGACCGGGTACTGCCGCTGAATATGCACGATCAGGCACGCAGTCCCTCCACTCACAAATGCCGGCGCACCAAGCTAGCGATAGAGCAAATCTGCCAAGCCATAATCACGTCTGCTTTTTCGCTGTTCGGGGCAGCCGGGACCGATGTCTGGACCACGTGTATACCGGGGTAGTAAGTCACCCGTATTTATTAATCTCACGGCGTGCACCGGTATACATACTACTACTCCGAAAAAGGAGAATGCGACATGTTCATTTACGTGCACGCGGTCCGCCAGAAGCAATAACAAAAGGTCCGATAAATGTGACGTTTCTTTTGATCCAGTCGAGCCTCGGAAGGCAGCGGAGGTCCCTGGTCGCCTGAATCGCGCTTCAGCCGATCTTGGCCGTACCTGTGTCATACAACTACTGATTCACTTCGGCGAAGAACAAAGAGGAGTCAGTGCCTTGGCTCAGACTGCTACCTGGGTACTCACGGTTGTCGTTGAACCCTTAATTCGGCAACTCCACTTCGCTCGTCGCTGCTTATTTGTTGCAATGCCACGACGTCTATTAGAATACCCAAGTAGTGACTTACGAAGAGGATCCGTATGACACCATTGACAAAGAACCTCAATAGGTGTGCGCTGGCTGACTTGATCTTGCGCTAAACTGAGCAATGCTAGTATCGTAGCTTTGGCACATTACCCAGGCTTCTGATGTGCCCCAGTAATCATCTCTAGGACGCAACAATAGCGGAGAAGCTTAACAGCTGGTAGCTAGCAAGTAGCCGAGTGATTGGGCACCTGCTAACCGCAGCCAGGTATTTGGCCCGTGGTTTCTTACCTGTCCGCCGCTGCAACCAACCTTGTATGCTACCAAACTTCCCTTCATTAGCAAAGAAACCAAAGGGAAAAAGCATATCGTGACAATCTCCACCAGTGAAAATAAAGACACCGGCTATTCGGTACGATCTGCACCGTAACGCAGTGCAACATACACGTGCCTAAGCGAAGGGTCTTCTTACTTGACGCTAGACTCCAGGTTCTGGCACTATAGAGAACCTGGCATCGTGAGCTTCATGTTGTCTTGGATCAAGCCGAACGCTCTGATCACTATTTAGCCACGCACAACATATCTTAGTAGCTTCATGTCAGAGATGACGCCAATACGGCCTCGGGGCCGTCCCATTCTACTAAGCTCTTACCGTGATCCTTCCACCGATCACCTCATTTGACCTGAGTATGAGTACTCTCCGCGGGTTTCAGTTATTAGCTACACGCATAAACCGTCACCACTGTCTGCTCCAAGCTAGAACTCCACCTCGCCATTAGTGCCTCAACAAGACTCAAGCGAAGACCAGAGACAAAGCATTCCTCAAGCGACGACGCCACAGCGTCATCACATGTTCACGCCCACGAACAGCAATGTAACAGTGTGACGTATCCTAAAACGCTTAAGAGTGAGACATTTTCTGTGTAACGACATATACCACTATGGGTGCTTTTACCTATCCAAAGAACTAGCAAGCCACCACGTATGGATGTTTGACCTAGGCTAGTTCCCTAGCCAACCAAATGTACAGGTTGTCACCTTCTACATATAGTCTCGCGGCTTACTCCCATCCTTTGTTTTTTCTGCTTTCTACTATCAGATGATGAGGTTACATAGCTCCAGTGAGTACCACAATACGATATGAGATAACCGGGCAGCTTTTCGCAGTGACGACAAAGTGGCAACTTGCAGGTGGGTGCTGCTTATGCACCTTGTTTGAGGGCATCTTAGAAGCTGTATGGAGCAATAGTATAATCTAGTCACCTTTGACTGTGGTCGGTAGCTATAGGGGAAAGCTCACCAGATCAAGTGGAAGAATGAATATGGGCAGGTATGAGCTGGAAGTGCCATACGAGGGTGATAACATACTGTTGGGCATCTGCAAGCGTCACCGTCAACGAGCTATGACACCACCGGCCTCTCATAACAAGGTCATCATTACATATACATACTCTCTTAGTCAGTTGAACTTCCCTAATTTCCATACAATATCACATGGCATAGTCTACACAAAATTGCAGCTATCGAGAAGAAAGAACCGTACGGTTAAGGACACCTCCATCTCATGGTGTCGGCACCGATGCTAACAACGGTAAAACGTCCTTGAATCTCACCGGCTTAAGTAAGAACTCATCAAATCCGCTACTCCTCGCTTGTCTGCGCGCCTTCTCACTACCCAGACCTGTGAGTGCGAAGATGTACGCTCGTGGCGCACCTCTGTTGTCCCAAGTGGCGCCGTCTAGAGTTTGCTCAGACGCGTCGTTGGAATGTGACTGCATGATTTTTTCCATCAAATCATCTTCGATTTTTCGAATCTTGGATACGGCTTGAAAGCCGTCCATGACTGGCATGCTGATGTCCATGAAGATGCAATCATACGCGATTTGTGGCCCTTGTTGTTCAATAGCAGTTTGATAAAGACGTACTGCTTCTGCGCCGTCAGTAGCGCTAGAGTAGGGGACATGAAGGCGTGTGGCAAAGGCGCATAACATTTTGAGGTTTATCGGGTTATCATCCACAAGGAGTAGCCGGTGAAATCTACAAGCAGGGTTGGGCTTGAGAAGGACAGTTGGCTGTGGTGATGATTGCGGCTGAGGGGCAGGAAGTGTCACAGCGTCGGAAAGTGACTTGTTCTGCGACGGTAGGCTACGATGCGGAAGTGCCACCGTCTCCATGCACGTATCTGCTTTTTGAAAAGTCTCGTGTTGACCTAGTTGCTCCGATGGGTCTGTCTCGGCTTCGCGTTCGACTTCCGCAGGTGGCAATAGGGCTTCCATTCCATTGGCATTCACGTCATTCAGAGCTGATATTATGGCAGATCCGAGCGACTTTCCTGTAATTAACATCGTGTGCATGGAACTCCAGGTGCCGATCTTGTGAAGTGTAGCCTTGGTATTGCCCAGTTCGACCACGACTGGACAGACGCTTGCCGCATACACAGGGAACAGAGTTTTCAAATCGTAAGCATGCGTCGTGTCCAGCGCATGCGTGTCAATGAGGACTATATCCATGGTTGGAGGTTCGATTATCGAAACATTGATGACGCTCATGCCAAAGCGGCCCTCACAAATGTTGCGAATAGAACGCTCAAGTGCTTTGGGTGGCGAAACGATGCATGGGGAAGATTTATTGCTTGAATCCCGATGCGAGGACAGACTGAGCAGACCGACCGTCTTTCCACGCAGAAGGCTTTCCTGCGTGCTTGGTAGGCTCGGCCTCTGTATCTTTTGGCTGGTTGGGATGTTGATGGTAATCTTCGTGCCCTCTCCCAAGCGACTGGAGACTGAGATGTTGCCCTGTAGTGACTCTACAATGCTTTTCACTAGGCTCAATCCTAGACCAGTTCCTGGGCTCAATATATTCTCTTGCGTGAAGGGCGTGAAGAGATGATATTTGAGAAAGTCCTCACTCATACCCACTCCCGTATCTGTCACAGACAGACAGATGTGAGCCTGTCTGCCGTCTGCAGCTTGCACTCCATCTGCGGCCTCCACGAATTCCAAGTCTACATGGATGTAACCGGACCTGGTATACTTCAACGCGTTGCTAACGACATTGAGCAGAATTCGTTTCCAGGCGCCCTTCTCAACGGCTACTGTCCAATCGCAGTGTCTCTGGAAGTGTGTAGTGAGGACGACAGGCTCAGCTGAAGTCGTTTCTCGCGAATCAGCTAATGTATCCTGGCGCTCTTTATTGAGTCCGGATACGAGTCGCGAAGCATGGTCATGGCCCACTGAGACCGTCTCGATGACATCTTCAACCAAACGCTCTAAGTCGACGGCCACTGCACCATTATGAACATGGTGACCAGAACGAATGGAATGGTCTCCACCTTTCCCGACGCCGGCACGACTATTAACCTTGGAATATTCTAAGAGATGGTCGAAGGTATCAAGAAGAGTGAAGGCACATGATTCGATCATAGTAATTTCCGGCATCAAGCTTGATCCCTGCATGTTTTCTTGGATCAACTCAATACTCGCTAATATGCCATGCAATGGACTACGTAGCTCGTGGCTTATAGTCGAAACAAAGTCCGACTTGGATAGAGTATTTGCCGAAGCTTCTAATCGGAAGACTTCGGCCATGAGCGAGTTTCCGAAAGCTGTTAAAGAATTGACGTCACCAGTATCGAGGGTTTTTCCAGTGTCAGATACCCATGCTAGACATGTAGCATAGCAGGCTTCTCTTTGGTAATGCCACATCGGCAGGAAAATCGCATATCGCGTCTTTGGCAAAGAATTGAAGAGATCAGTCCATTCGTTATCCTCAACAGAATTGGGACTGTAGTCTGGCTCGCTGCCATCTCCGTGTTGGATAACGCCGTGTTCGTCTACAGCGAAGACATGCCCTCGAGTGTACCTTGTAGTTAAGCGTTGGATGAGGGACTGCGACAGCTCCAAACTTGATTGCTGGCCCACTGCGGTGCTTCTCTGATAGCAGGAGAGCGGTGTCGCAAAGGAGTCGTTTGGAGACGATGATGTCTCTGTATCTTTCGACTGACCACCTCTATGTTTACCGGCTGAAACAGTGTCAAAGAAGACAAGGCCATCCAAATCCATGGCATAGCCAATGTCATTTGCAGCTCTTACAAAGAGATCTTCGACCTGAATGGACAAGTCAGGCTTGTCCATCCTCGAATCAGTGTCTTGCGGAGAAATAACGATGGAAGCTGGCTCGTACACCGAACCAGCGATGCGTGTCGTTGCACTGCCAGATGATAGCGGACTGGATTCTCTTTGGGTAGTAGCACTAAAGACATCAAGATCGAATGGATCTGTGTGAGCCTTGGGACGTTCAGGGGCCACAGATTTTGGAACCACATTGCGTGCATCGCGCTCATCCGGAGCTACGAATTGGCGAAGACCTTGCATCATGCTTGCTGCTCGCGATTTACAGGCTTCGACGCGTCTCATGTTTAAGTATGCACTGATGGCGGAAGTGACTTCCCGCATAGTACTCAACGACTTTGGATGGAGGAAATCTCTTTCCTTGTTGTCCACCACGCAGTAGCTTCCCAATATATGTCCAGACATTGCAAATAGTGGTATCTCAAGGTAAGACACCATGTATGGATGCCCAGCCACAAACGGACGCTTTGCGAAAGTGGGAATCCGGCGAAAGTCTTTTATATAAAAGTAGGACCTGTCGGCAACAATATACGGACTATCCGGCAAAGATACCGCTCGTCCATGGAAGATGGACATGGTGTGAGGACATACTCCCCAATCGAGGGGGATTCGAGAAGTACCCAGCAACAACGGATCGGTCGGATCTGCGCTGGAAAGAGACTGGTGTCTCGTCATCTCTGCGCATATGAATTGGGTTTGGTTATCGATGAGGGAGATGAACGCGCGGTCGCAATCCATCTTGTGCACGCCATGCTGGGCGAGAGCATTGAGGGTTATGTCGCTGCTGGGGACTGGATCGGAGGGCGGCCCTTCTGGGATCTGGAACGGAAACGATGCGGCAGAGAGATATCTAGGGCTATTTGTTAGCAATGAGAAACGCGTTTCATGACGCAGAATGGCAAGTCTCACGCGGCGATCTCGTATGCGCGTGCCCGTTCATGTTTATCGATAACTTCGGGTGGTGGCGCCGTAGTTGAGAGGGGGGTGATGGCCATAGTCCATATTACGTCACTCACATTGAGGGCACTCGGTAACTCGACTGAAGACTGCTGGTGCTGTTTGCATCGATTCCGCGGGCCCGCAGCCGTCTTCTGCTTCTTTCCAAGGTTGGCAAGCGGTCTTGGCGTTAGTCAGCCAATTTCCAAACGGCCCGCATATCAAGGGCAGAAGCACGGCTTAATTTCTCGTCAACTCCATCGATAGTGATTTGACGCTAGCTAGACACGCATTCTTCTACAATCACAAGAGAAAGTGCCCGACCAACAACTCCTCGCTGCCCACGGCTAGACGCTCAGTTTTGCATACTCGTCGCACACTTCGGTTAGCTTCTTCCTCGTCCCAGGCTCCATAGCACTATGTCCTGCATCGTCTACAAAATGCAGCTTACTCTCCGGCCACTCCTTGTGCAAGTTCCACGCCGTGATCGGCGGGCAGACGACATCGTATCTCCCCTGCACGATTGTTGCCGGAATGTTCCTGATACGATCAACATTCTCCTTCTTCAGCAATTGCCCGTCTTCCAGCCACGCTTTGTTGGTGAAGTAATGGATCTCGAGCCTTGCGTGCGCTAGCAGATAAGCCGGGTCTTGAAGTTTCTTGAATGCATTGGGGTCCGGGTATCTAAGGTTTGGCGTACAAGGTCAGCGCATGTCTCCGATGCAGTTCGCTAATAGTAATCACGTACAGAGTGCTGATTGAAAGCTCCCATTTGTTCCATGCAGTGGCTGCAGGGTGACTTATCGAAGGGTCAGAAGACATAAGGCGTTTGTGGTAATTGCCAATATGATCCGAGCGTTCCTCCTCTGGAAGGAAGTTGATGAATTCGTCCCAACAGTCAGGAAACAGCATTTGAACGCCGCCTGGGTGATTCGTCCAGTGGAGCTCGATATCGCGCACAGTGAATATGCCGCGCAGAACTAAACTACCTACACTTTCGGGGTGTGTTTGTGCATAGGCCAGAGCGAGAGTGGAGCCCCAAGAGCCACCGAAGACTGTGTGCCATTTGGAGATGCTGAGATGTTTACGCAGGACTTCAACGTCGGCGACGAGGTGCCAGGTAGTGTTGTTTGTGGTGTTGGCATTAGGGCGCGATTGACCACAGCCTCGCTGGTCGAGCAAAATCACTCGATACTCAGAGGGGTTGAAGAAGACGGTGTTGGATTTGGAACAGTTGCCACCTGGCCCCCCATGGAGGAAAATGACTGGATGGGATTAGAAGTCAACGAATGCGGCTCGGAGAGATGTTGCACCCACCAGGCTTTCCATCCTTCTTGCCAAACTGTTGATAGTGTAGTTCATGGATATCGTCGACGCGCAGCCAATCCACATCCCAGGCGTCTTCGTGTTCATAGCCGGTGACATGAGGTGCTTGAGCCATGCTTGTGGTGTTGTAACTAGCAACTGCAAATACGAACGCAACCGTGTGACCAAGCTTTGTAGTTTTGTCAAGTCAGGCAACCATAATGGTGCAGTCAGACATCTAGGTGTAGCTACCCCGCTTTCAGCATAGTGGACCCCGCTAAATGAAGAACACCTTCCTGTTTGGCTAGAAGAATATAATTTTCTGAGCGGTTTATGTGCAGATAAAATCAAGATAACGTATTAAGAGATGGACCCCAGCTCTGAAACGTCCTACAAAGGACTGACGCTGACGACAAGAACCTAGTACTTGAAGCCACCTGCCCTAGTACTCCATAATCCGTTCGGGTCTACACTCTTCTGCAATGTCTTGAACTTCTCATAGTCCTTGTAACTCTGCATGACTGGCTGATCCCACATAGCATCGTTGAGGAATAACGGCATGTACATGTCGCTTGGCATCCCCGCCTCTGCTATCCATTGAGGCACAACCTTGTCCAACCAAGCCGTCAGCTCTCTGGCGATACCGAAAGCAAGAGGATCGTCCGTGGGCAAGTTCCACGCGCCTTGGTAAATAAGGATGATGCGGTCAGGGTCGGAAGACGAAAGACCCATGGCATTTCCGCCCTTGGATTCGGAAATCTTGCCAAAGCGAGACGGAAGTGGCTGGAAGTCAACGCTGAACTGGACGGCGCGAACGACGGGGAGTGTGTTGAGGAAGACACCAGTGAGCTCAGCGAGCTTATCACGAATCTCCCTGTACATCTGGGGACGGGATGGGATATATGGAACGGTGTAAGTTCGGAAGAATGAACGAGAGTTCAAAAGTCGGACGGGTTCGCCGTTCGCCCTCAGCTAGCAATCGTCAGTTCCTGTATATCACGTCACGGTCGGTTCATGGACTTACCAGCTCAGAGTACTTTTGTTTTTTGGGCAGACATAGCGGGTTGAGGATCTTGAAGAAGTCGGCAAAAGGGCCCGACGTAGGCGGCGTGGGGCTGTCGTAAAAGTAGAAGACAACCTTCGTCTTGAGCCCGGCTGCAAGCACAAGGTCCGAAAAGATAATGGCGGCCTTGGGATCTTCGGCACCACGGGCTATGAAGTTGTGCAAAGCAACGTAAAGTGCTTCGGATTTTGACTCGTCATATATGCAAGAACCGCCCCATACGTTGCCCATGTGATGGACCTTGGCCTTGAACTGGGTGACAATACCAAATTGGCTTCCGGAACCACGCATGGCTTGCGCAAGATCAGGATGTTTCGCAGCGTTGACGTTAACAATGGATCCGTTGGCCATGACGGTCTCCCATTCGACGATGTTCTAAGGCCAGTCAGTATGAATCTCATCAAGACATTGTGCGCAAACTGACATCAGCAGCGAGGCCTTCTTGAGCACCAAGGAACGATAAACCTCCACCCAAAAGCAACCCGCCGACACCGACGAGACCTTTGTTGTATTAGTCGGGGTTCTCAATCATCTGTAATATCTCAAACTTACCAAGCCTTCCTCCAGCAATAGCCACTCCATTCTTCTCTAGATCACCAATAACATCGTTCCACTCACCACCAGGGCGAACATAGGCAACGTCCTCTGCTGCATCGTACGTCGCTCCAACTAGACTGGTCATAGTGATGAGAACGCCGTCTTGAACAGCAGCATGATTCGTGTTTGGGTCGTGCCCTCCACTTCGAGTTGCAAGCTTAACAGTAGGGTACTTGTTCAGGATCTTGATAGCGATGGATACATCCTGAGCAGACTCTGGCTGAACAATACATGCAGGGTCGACTTCGCGGAGATTTGTAGCCCAGTACTGCTGCGTCTCATGCTCATATTCAAGCTTGAGAAGCCCAGGGGTCAAGACTTTGCCAGGAAGAGCGTTATTGATATCTTTACACGCTTTGGTAGTGGCCTCGGTAGGAATGGCAAGAGCAGATTGGGCTCCTAAAAGCAGGCTCGCAAGTACGAAAGACGCGAGTTTGTCCATGTTGGAAGTCAACGAAAGTGATAAATGAGCGAAAGATCAATAACAGCGATGGAAAAACAATGAAGCCTACAAGAACAACCTTCCCAGGGCGAGGTGCATTAAGTACTATCTTCTGAGTCTCCCCGATGTTGAATCGAGATGCCTCCGGTCTTCCCTCCGGACGCCACGGCAGCCATGCAGAGATGCAGCGCATCTACTCAAGCTGGGTACGCCCTTGACCAGGGCAGGTCGCGTGGAAGAATCATGGAATACGGTAATCCCCTCCAATGGCGATCCATGACTAAGGGAACAAATGCAGATCGTGTGTGAGGGCCTGCAAAGCTTACAGACTTGAGCCGGATTCGAGCCCGATATTTGAGGGGAATAGACGCACGTCGTACTCGTGCTATATCGTCTGCTAAAATGAGTATTTAGCCTGGATGGGACAGGACACATGCAGCCCTGAGGAAGGTTCTCGGTTGCTGATTTGCAGTCCCGTTACCCGGAAGCTTCGTGGGATAAGCAGAGGGTGTGATGATGGTCATGGTGGAGACACTGGTGGTGGGCCCAAACTCAGGGGAATAGAACTCTTGTGGCATTAAACTTCTGGGCCATCTGACTGATATGCACGCCCAGGCACACTAAAGAAGTATATGGCGCTGGCGAGCACGATAATTGATGAGTCGAGAGTGGAGGTGGACACGAAAACGAACGGCAGCGATTATCGCAACAATGACAACATGGCTGTATGCAGGGCTGTTATAGACGGGCATGGTAGTCGCGATGGTCGCAGTGGCACCATGTCCACGTCGGATGGGGTCGTGGCGGAAGGTACGGAACGTTTTGGGGTCCGAGCTTGGTCGGTTGCTCCTTCTACCTGGGCGCCGGAACCCTGGGATAAACAAACATTGGACGAGAAGCTCAAGCTCAACGACGCCGCTACATCCGCCGCCGGAAGCCGACCACGACGGCTGCGACGACCATGGACTCGTACAATCTCAAAACCGCATCGACTTACATCAACAACCTACTGCTTGCCCGGGGCTTGTTGCGCAATGGCAAGCCGATTGAGTTTGCGCATCCATCGAGGGGAGAAGGGGGGAAAGAGGCCACCATGGCCCAGATTATCAACCTGGTGCACGACCTGATACTGAAGCGCGACGTAGGCAAACATGCATGTTCCACGGAAGAGAGGATCCTAATGAGTAGATAGCGCGACCAAGAATACCGCGAATCCATCGCCGACACGTTGCGAAACTTGCGCTCAGAATCGACGCGTCAGACGGCCGCCCTCGAGAAGCAGCACAACCGCAATGCAGACCTATCGAGGCAGCTCTCGCTCGCCCAGGCGCAGGAGCAATCCGCGCGCAAAGCCCTGCACACTGCCGAATCGTCGGCGCGAAAGTTGCGCGCAGAGATGCAGCGACTCAAGACGACCGTCGACCAAATACGCACCAGCTGCACCAATGACGTACGAAAGCGCGACAAGGAGATCGCAAGGCTTAAGAGCCACTTGACGAGCCAGCAGCGGGGCAACAAGACGGGCTTGGTAGGCGCCAGCATCACCATTAATCCCGGCAGTACAGGCTTGAGCGCTGCCACAGGCCATGTGCGCGAAGAGACACCCAATGTAGACGATCCCGAATACAGCCTGAAGCAGGAGACGACCGAGTTCCTGACACACTTGAGTCAGAGCCTAAGCGACGAGAATGACAACCTCATCGGACTCGTGCGAAGCACTCTGTTGACACTGAGGGAGCTACAAGGCATGCCGGAAGTCAGTTGCAAACAAGACACAGAAGAGAGTTCGGTCGTAGGCGATGACGAAGACGATGCGCGACAGGACATGCTGCACGCGCTACCCACCGATTACGAGACATTGGCCGATGACATGGACACAGTGCTGGACAACCTGAAGAACCTCCTCACAAACCCCAACTTTGTGGCAGTGGACGAAGTCGAGATGCGTGAAGAGGAGATACACAGGCTACGAGCAGGTTGGGAGAAGATGGAGGCCCGACTACGAGAATCATTTATACTCATGGACTCCTGGCGAAAGCGCATGACCAACGGCGACACCATCAACCTCGATGAACTCAGAATGGGATTGGGGTTCGGTGAAGGATTCGAGATGGTCGACAGAGAAGGCTTCTCTACAATTCAGGAAGAGAGTGAGGCCGACGATGCCGCAAGTTCAGCCTTGGAAGAAGATGTGGATGATACCGAGGAGCGGGAAGAGGAAGATCAACTTCCCTCACCTGCACCGCACGAACAACCAGACAAAACAACTGGGCCTGACATATTCAGGATTAAGCTGCAACCTAGTCAGACAGCACTTAGAGAGAGCAACGGCAACAAGCCACCCATCCGGTCGCCTCGCAAGGTAGCCTTTTCAGCGTCCATTCCAAACACACCGTCGCAACTTGACGAGGAAAATGCAGGCGCGTCTGAGATAGATCTAGTGGAAGTGGAGAAGACTAGTCGTCCGACCTCTGCAGCCAAACAACCAAGATCTGAAGAACGAGCATCTAGACGAACGAGTCAAGACAGACCACGCCATGTACGTTATGATCCCCCCACAAACCAGGTCAGAAAGGTGGACAGCAAAGTGGTCCTCTCATTCCCATCAACTTCCTCCCTTGTAATGGGCACACCTCCAATATTAATCCCCGTCGTTCCATAAATCTAACAACTTGCGACAGAATAAAAAGCGCCTGTCAAGCCCACATGTGCACCCCGACGAGCGATCGCCGAAGCTATCGGTCCAAGACAAATTACGAGAGGCCGCGGAAGCAGCCGCTGTAACCGACGGAGACATCTCCACCAAGAAGACGGACGAGAGCACCGAAGTGCCCGAAGAAAACCCTAAGAAGCGGGCACCCAGGTCTCCAGTCAAGACGCGAGTCGGTGGAAGGCCAAAGAGGAGGAAGAGCACACTGACGCCAGAAGAATTGGCAAACCTCCTGGGCTGCTAGACCGGGTCGAAGCATACATTGTACTGACAATGGCAACATTAAGTTGGACTTGATGATTCCTTATGGCTGCATCAGCGTCTAGTCATGCAAGATCGTACGATCAAGCCGCTTCCTGTCGAGATGCGAGCTTTGCATGTTGAGGAACCAGTCGGTGGAGTGGCTGGTCTGCGTGACCATCATTCTACGCTAACGGGCAGGCCATGAACGCGCGTGTGCCCGTAGCCTCCATGTACTGGTTGCGGCGCGTATGCTGAGATTTCTGCTCAGCTGGTCTATCAGATCTCACTGGGTCTACCCGTGCACTCGCATAATTTTGATCAAATAACGAGTGTGGAAGACCATGGTTTTGAAGGACGTCAAGGAGAGACGCCCTATCTCATCATGCAGATGGTCGATGGCACAGCAGCAGCTCAGCGTCTCCCCTGCTTCTCGTGTACACAGGGGAACGAGCACCCGATAGCAATGACATTTACTTAGTAGAGATGCCCGTCGTCGGGCAACGAGAATGTCACGTCTGCTGTCGCTTCCCGTACCTGATGTCGAAGTGTTGTGCCTCTCCTGTTCCGCCGCGTTTCCACCTCATTCCCTTTTCCCCTAACAGACCAATTTCTTCTAAAAAATCATGCCGTTGCATGCACATTGTGCACATCATCACTATCGACTCCGGTTTTCTCCCACATGGTGGACATTGTGACCGGAATGTGGCCGGAGAAATGGCTTATGCTGCATTCAAGTGAAGTTGGCGATGGGATGTTGTGGTTGGACGGCATTGCAAGCCACTAAGTTTATTAGCCGCCCATTGTCCCCGTTCGGGACATTTGGTGATGGACGGTATGGAGCTGCGCTCAGACGATTGGACAGAAGCTGAGATGCGGGTACGAAAAGACTGTAAATAGGTCTGTATGCGGCAGGGAGGATGGCTGCAGCGCCATCAAGGTAGCAGCCTTGGAAAGTAAATTTCTCTGCATCTGTCGTCAGCCCTCGAGCCACAATCCCCCGTTGAATCTGCAGTGTGACAGAAACTTATCTGCACCTTGCACATCCCGACATCACATGGCTCACCCGGCTTCTGCCTCTCATTGGTTTGGTGTTTTCACCCCAAGCCAGTGCGCTGCGTGACGGCCCACTTATGTATTCCCCGCCCGCATCAACGAATGAGGGCACAGAAGCAAGACGCCCGGCTACACACGACAAGGCCGCCCACCACTCCCACTTCACCATCAAGCGCTCGCCGTACATTCGATAGACTGCTCTCCACACCCGCTACCAGCTTGCACCCTGCGAACATGGCGTGTGTACGCAGCCCAGGTAATCAATCGCTACCGGGAGCTGCGGGACCTGGCCCATAGGCAGCGTAGTGCAATACGCCGGTTTGCCAGCCCCTCGCTAACGCCCAATTGTCGCTCAGCAGCTGTGCGATGCAGTGTCTATAGATAAGTAGGCCTGGAGCCGCTCACATCTCGTCTTTTTTTTCTTCAGCAAGTGTGTCAAGTTCAGAGCTGTTGTGTTCGTCTTTTGTCTATTCTTTTTACCCCTCCCCTTCTCCCTCTCTACTCTCTCCCCAGGCCTGGTGCCATCTAATAATCACTACTCCATCGTCGACCTTTATACCCACCCTTTTTTACAGTAATCCAATTCTTTGTGGCCGGTCCACTTCAACGTAATACACAGTTCTACTTGCTCGAAACGAACTTTCAAACTCACAACGACAACGCAATACTCGCAAACCTCGACGAAACTCTCAACACACACAGCTTCATCAGCAATCTTGACGTCTATCCATTAGTTTGGCATTGGACGAATTGAAAGAAACGATTACATCATAATATCTATCTTCAAAACAGAAAGAAAGAAATAAAATCACAATGGCCGCTATCCAGCTCAATTTCACTCTCCGCACCTCCTCCAACTGCAAAACCGTGCACTTGCTCGGTTCCTGGGATGGCTATCAGGGTCAGCTCCCACTTTCCAAGGATCCCAAGAAGTCCGGTGGCTGGGTCGGATCATTCAAGTTCCAAGGACAGACTCTGAAGCAGGGACAGCGTT